GTTTTGTTTCTTTATTTTCTGGGGCAGTGAGAGTAGAAGGTGGTTTTCCTTTGGGGTCCTAAGGGCTCGGGTTGGGTGCAAGGCATAAGGAGTTTTCAGCAACAGAGCTGGGTAGGGGGGTTGAGAGAGGCCACAGGCGAGGACACCAGCCCAGCCACAGTGATCCTGCCAAAGGCAACTGGGCAAAGCCAGTGCTGAAATGTTCAAGGGGGCTCAGGCAGAACTGGATACCGGAGGATGTAGGGGGCTAGGGGAGGATGCTTATCCATGGGCTCAGGAGTGGGGGCTACGGGTCAGAGGCTCTGTGTTGAGGCTCCCCAGTAGCTAGTAGCCCTTTCACAGTGGACACAGCCCCAGCCACCCCAGCTGCTGTCAGGACGTGGGTGGGGGGAGTGGGGGACCAGACAGAGAAACAGAATCCTGGCCATTGTGGTAAAGCCAGCACAGGGAAAAGGGATAGCTAGGCAAAGCTGGAAAATTTGGGGTCCCAAGGGCACACATGGCTCACCCACAGGCATGGAAAAGCCCAGGCCTACAGCAGCCAAATGAGTTCCAGGCTTCACCTGCTCTAAGTCGTGCTATGTTGGAACTGGTATGGGGATGACCTCATAGGCTCCAGTGCGAAGGGACTAGATGGACTGATCCCCAGCAAGAGAGCAACTGTGCCCCTTTGCTGCCATCTGGACCATCAGCTCCAGTATAGCTCTCCAGACAGCTTCCTGAAGGAGTGAATCAGTTAATATTTGATATCTGAAATCTTTATCTCTGCCCAAGACATTGCTTTGTGTCAACCTCTGAGACGCTGACATTTGTCAAACACACCTGGATCCCTACGTGCCCAGGTGTGGGCAATCCTGGGTAAGAACTGTTTTTCCTCAGCAGAATACCTTTGATCTTATATGGCTGCCCCAGAGAGATTAAGTGACCTACCCAAGGACACACTGTAAACAAATGGAAGTCATGAAAATGAAAGCACAAACAATGACTGATGCCTTTATTAGCATCCAGCATGGTACAGTACTAAGGGACTTCTGTGCTTTACCTCGTTAACCAGCCTATCATTAGTGCCTTTCTGATGGCTCTATTATTATCCCCATTTTACAGATGAGGAAATAGGCTAAGGGAGATGAATCACCTGCCTAAGTACACATAGCTAGTAAGTGAGTGGAAAGGGACTTGAACCCAGGATCTACACCAATAACTGCTTTGATCCAGGGAGTCTGTGAGTCACCTAGGTCTCCAGGAAGGAGAATCAACTGATCTGGCTGGGCAGGGCCCTGGGGGAGAGGAGAGCGCCCTGACTCCTTCCTCTGCAGCCCTTTTCCTTCCCTCATTTTCGATTCTTTCTTTCTGGAAGGTAATTGCTTGGGGCAGTGACAACCTCCTGGTGAATTACACAGCTGGTTTCCCAGTGAGATTTGTAACAACAACCCCGCCAGCCTGGCGGCCCCCAGCAAGTTCCGGTTTAAGAAACTAATTGCTGGATTGTGTAGTTGGTGCTAAATTGGGTAATTTCTTGGTGATGGCATGTGTGCCACTTCTTCCATTCCCAGATAGATTCGAGCTGCATCAGAGAATCTGTCACACGCGGCACCCTCCCAGACTCCTTCACTCCCCACTCGCCAGCCAGCCACCGGCAATGGCAGAAGCGACTGCTTTCCCGGGCCCAGAGGTTCACCGTGTGGGCAGTTCTCTGTGTCCTGGGATTGGAGAGAGATGGCATGGAGCAGTAAAATGGGGAACATCACACCAGCACCCAGAGTTGTCACAGGGCTGCAGGAGCTTCCTTTATTCTGTGCTTGTCTGACCTTGGACTTGGAACAAACTCAGTGCTCACCACACAGGGGAAAGGCTAAACCACACTCTGGTTAGCTCTGGAGTATGTGGTATGTGGGAGGCTTTTTGATTTGTTTCCTTAAAATTCATTTTCATTACTGTGTTTACTTCAGAATGGCGTTTAATATGTTTGGCTTCTCTGGGCTGGCATCCCAGGTGGGAGAAAAGCTAAGGCCAAGTTGGAGTGAGGCCATGCTGGGTTTGATTTCTGGCTTTGCCACCAACTCTGTGGCCTTAGGTGGGTCAGTTAGCCTTTTCAAGCCTCAGTTTTTTCTTCTGTAAATTGGGAAGGGGGGATAATATCTATCCCTTGCAATAGTTGTGGGAATTAAATAAAATGTCCTAAGTGAAAGGATATTGCTCTTTGTAGGCTCACATTCACTCAACAAACACCTGTCACATGCCAAGCATTGTTTAGGGGTCAAGGATGAGGCAGCGAAGATGGATGAGATTTCTGCACTTACATGGAGCTTACATTCTAGTGGGAGAGACAGACAATCTCTGAGTCAGTCAAATTGAAAATGGTAATGATTTAAGAGCTATACAGGCCCATGGTGCCTTGAGAGCAAACAGCAGGGGGATCTGACCTAGTCAGGGAGGCCAGAGAAAGCTTCCCTGAGCAAGCAACAATGGAGCTGAGATCTGAAGGGTGTGTAGGAGTTAGCAAGCAGAGGTGGGCAGGCAAAGCTTTCTGGACAGGGGGAATAGGCCCCATGATGGGAGGGATCCTGGGATTGCAAAAAGACTGGCCTGGCTGGAGCAGAGGAAGTAAGGGGGAGCGTGTTGTGAGAGGAAGTGGAAAAGTAGCAAGGGCCAGACCCTGCAGACCTTGTTGGACGGGTAAGGGTGTTTTATCTTAAGAACATCAATAAGCCAATGAAGAGTTTTAAGCAGAGAAGTGACATGATCAGATTTGTGTTTTCAAGTGACTGTTTGGATTGGATCAGGGTTAGAACAGAAGCAGGGACAGCAATTAGGAGCTTTTGCAGACATCTAGGCAGGAGGTGATGTTTCTGAGGTTGTTGGATTAGTTAGCAATGCTTTCTGCTACAAATACAGAAAATCTGGCCAACAGTGTTTTAAATAAAGAGTTTATTTTTTTACCACATTTAGGCCTGGAGGAAGGCAACTGCTGGTGGTGTTGGTTCCATGGCTCAATGACTCTCAAGCTACCATTTCTGCAATTCTCTAGGCTTTTCTCTCATGGTGTCAAGACAGTTGCCCTAGCTCCAGCATCATGGTTGTTTTCAAGCCAAGAAGGAAGGGGGGAGAATGGTACTAGCAAGCTTCACCTTTTTTTTTTATTACAAAGGCAAAATTGTTCTTAGAAACCCTCATTCAATTTTTATATACATTTCATTAGCCAAAAGTGAATCATGTGTTCTCTAGTTCCAAGGGAGGCTGGGAAAGGGGAAAGGAAATTGAGAATGAATTTTAGCTAGTCAGCTAACAATGATTTGGTGGATATTAAAATAAGTGGGCAGATCTATTGTTAGGAAGCAAAATCCAGAGGACTTGGTGATGGATCGAATTATTAGTCTCCTCTTTGTTTTTCCTTCTTATTAATTATGTTCAGTAATAAGATGGCATTAGGAGGAATGTGATCGTAAAACATAATACAAAGGAGAAAGCCTGTATAATTAAATCGATATCAATTAAATCTTTTGTGTGTATGTGTTAATCACCACCCAAAGATATCTTTTCCATTGATTTTTAGAAAGAGTGGAAGGGATGGGTGGAGGAGAGAGCGAGCGAGCGAGCAAGAAACATCAATGTGAGAGAGACACATTGATCGGTTGCCTCATGCATGCACCCCAACCAGGGCTGGGGATCGAACCTGCAACCCAGGTATGTGCCCTTGACCAGGAATCGAACCTGCAATGGGCCGACGCTGTAGCCACGGAGCCACACCAGCCAGGGCTCTTCCACTACTATTAATCATGCCCACAAAGCTCGCTCTTCTTCCTGATATCCCTGTGCCTAATAATGGCATCATTAGTCTTCCAGTCACTTGCTGCTGCAAAATTTAAAATCGTCTTCCTTTCTGACTCTCTCTCTCCCACCTCTTGAAAGTATTTGCCGAACCTTGAACATCTGCTGGAACTCTCCTACCCCACCCCTCAGAATTCCTTATTTGCCCACCTCTTCTGCCTTTGTGCCTGCTGTTTCCGCCTCTTCTGCCTTTGTGCCTGCTGTCCCCCCTCCTTTGTCTGTGGAACACACAGCCATCTGAGACTAAAGCTGGGAGAACCATCTTGTTCCCAGCTCAAACACACACTCCTCTGGGAAGTCTTCCTCAGTTTCCCTCTATTGCGTTCGGTCTCGCTCTAATCTGAACTAGCCTAACATCATGGTACCTCTTTCCAGCACAGTCATTTATTCATCTACACAGTGAACGTTTATTAAGGACCTGCTCTGGCCAGAACCCTGAGTTAGGTGCTCGAGATCCAGAGATAAATAGGGTTTGGTTCCTGCCCTGCAGAAGACCACATTCTGGTTGGGGAGACAGAAGCGGAAGCAGACAGTTTCAATACAGTATGATAGCTGCTTTCAGGGGAGAAACCAGGGTGTTATAAAAGCCCAGTAGAGAGGCATAACCCAGAATAAGAGTGCAGAAAGTCTTTGAGAGAAGGCGGGGCTTAATATGAGCAAGTGGGAGAGGGGAAGGGTTGGGGTAGGGAGATGGATGAGAGGAGATTCTAGAAGGAGATCCTGTGTAAAAATACAGGGACCTAGAATACCCCTGTTATGTAAGAGGTTGCTCCCCTGTTAGACTGTGAACCCCTCGATGACAGGGATCACACTTACATCACCTCTATACACTTCTCAGAATCTTGTTTATGGTAGCTGCTGGACAAATTTTTGTGGAATGGAATCATATTTGAGGGCAATGATTTGAGCCAAATGAAGTGGCTCAGCACCATGGACAGATCACCAAGACACCTGCAGTTGGAGGTAGTCCAACCTGTACGCTCATTTCCATGTATTTGCATAATGAAGCCAACCTCATTTCCCTAGGGGTCCAAAGGCTCTGCATCATGAAGGATACAATCAGTCCTGGTTTGGGGGGTTGGGAAGGGAAATGGTCAAGGCCAGAAGCTGGTTCTCTGAGGACTGTGGGAGAATCTCTGCCCTTTGCTCTTCACCGTTTTCTCTTTCATCAGGAGCCAGTGGTCCTGAGCCTTCTGAAGTTAGGATTCTGCCTGGTGGTGAGGATCCTGACACCAAGGATGGGACACCCAGGATGGTGAGTGGTAGGAGAGCCTGGGAGATGGGGATTAGTTTGAGGTTCTCGAGTCAGAATAACTTGGATATGAATTTTGATTTAAGGTGACTCACCCACTCACTGGCTTTGTGACTGTACCTATGGAGCTCAGTTTCCTCCTGAGTAAAGGTGGATAATATCTACATAGAAGAGGTCAGTGGGATTAGAGAGTATTAGTTATGCACGGTACCTGGCACATAGCAAGTGCTTGGGAAACAGTAGGAGATGTGCCGTGAGCAGGATCTGGAGGAAGCCTGAAACGTGGTGGGTACTGGGAGGTGGTGGTGGGGAGCAAGGGAAGATGAGTCTTAAAGGGGCTGTTGTGTGGCTTCTTTGATGCTGTCATCCCCTCCTAGTCAGCAGATGGCCCAGGAGCCTGGTCTGGGGTGAGGGAGGGCACCGTCTGCCAGCATCTCAGTCCCTGTACCTCCTGCCGTCACCCCCTCCTGCCAAAGCTCCTGTCCTGGCAGCTCTGGAGTCCCGATTGGAGGCAGTTCTTGCTGAGAGCTGACCTCTCTGTCCTGTAGCCTTGACAAGCCTGCGATGGGGGCCAGGGGCACTGCTTTCAACGTTCTCTCTCCATCACCTCCCTGCCCTGGGAGCCCACTGTTCCTGGGAGGAGGAACTCCTGGGTTCCAATCCCATTGTAGGATTCAGGTGTTGCCTCTTATAGCCAGCGTTCCTCCCAGTTATGGTTTCTCCTCCCTTCACGATTTCCCTTTAGTGGAATGGGGGTGGCAGGTGGGGGTAACACGCAAAAGGGGAAGTTTCACGGGGGAGTGTTTGAAATCCGGAAGAGGAAAGGAGTCGTTTCAGGCTATTCCTTCCTACCCCGGTGGTAGGGAGAGGGAGAATGGGCCTGCAGCCAGACGGGAGGAACGGGATGTGGAGGGAAGGGGAGGGGTTTCCCTGCATAATCAAGCTGGATATTTACATTTGGGTCTGTGTTCTGTTTGGTTATTGTGTTGGGCATCGTGACCCTGGGGCCTGGCTCTTCACAGCAGTGCAAGTGGGTAGGGATGGGTCAGAGGTGTGGCTCTGGATTAATTTGCCTCAAGTCAGCTTGTTAAAAGCCAGTTCACCTAATGAGGGGTTTCTTTGACTATTTTGTACATCTGCTTAGGTATCCTTTTATTTCTGCTAACCCTGGGATTTTTTTAAAAACCCATTTGGCTGAGGGCATTTCCTCTCGTGAAGAAGTATTTATCAGATTTGCAGCATTTGATGAATGACTGTATTATTTTGTGCCCTTGCTAGTGTCTTTGTCTAGCATGGCTCTTTTAAGGACTTGAAGCCCATTTGTGGAACGATAGTATAATTAATCACCATAAATTGATATGCATTACCAAAGGGATACCAGAATATCTAATAAAAGATAGTTTTAGGTATAGTGGCCTTTTGTTCAATCTGAATCCATTTTCTCCCTGTTTCCCAGGAGGTTCCTGGGGCCTGGCCCCCAACACTATGAAGAGCCCTTGCTGAGGCCATGAGGGGTTACCATGGCGACCGAGGCAGCCATCCCCGCCCAGCCCGCTTTGCTGACCAGCAGCATATGGACGTGGGCCCAGCTGCCAGGGCCCCGTACCTGCTGGGCTCCGGGGAGGCCTTCTCCACCGAGTCCCGCTTCTGTGCCCCAAGAGCTGGCCTGGGACACCTTTCTCCCGAAGGGCCCCTGAGCCTGAGTGAGGGGCCATCGGTAGGCCCTGAGGGAGGGCCAGGGGGGACTGGAGTTGGGGGGGGTAGCAGCACCTTCCCCAGGATGTACCCCGGCCAGGGCCCCTTCGACACCTGTGAAGACTGTGTGGGCCACCCACAGGGCAAGGGTGCCCCCCGCCTGCCTCCTACACTCCTGGACCAGTTTGAAAAGCAGTTGCCAGTTCAACAGGATGGCTTCCACACGCTACCATACCAGCGAGGTCCAGCGGGGCCTGGGCCCGGGCCTGGGCCGGGGTCTGGCTCTGCCCCGGAGGCCCGCAGCGAGAGCCCCAGCCGCATCCGGCACCTGGTTCACTCCGTGCAGAAGCTCTTTGCCAAGTCCCACTCTCTGGAGGCCCCGGGGAAGCGGGACTATAACGGGCCCAAGGCTGATGGAAGAGGTGGCTCTGGGGGAGACAGCTACCCTGGCGCAGGCTCCGGAGGCCCCCACACCTCCCACCACCACCATCACCATCACCACCACCACCACCACCAGTCCCGGCATGGCAAGAGGAGCAAGAGCAAGGACCGCAAGGGGGATGGGCGGCACCAGGCCAAGGCCGCTGGCTGGTGGAGCTCTGATGACAACTTGGACAGTGATAGTGGCTTCCTGGCGGGTGGGCGGCCTCCTGGGGAGCCAGGTGGTCCCTTCTGCTTGGAGGCTCCAGATGGGTCCTACCGGGACTTGAGCTTCAAGGGGCGCTCGGGCGGGTCAGAAGGCCGCTGTCTTGCCTGCACTGGCATGTCCATGTCACTGGATGGACAATCGGTCAAGCGAAGTGCCTGGCATACCATGATGGTCAGCCAGGGCCGGGATGGATACCCAGGGGCCGGGCCAGGCAAGGGGCTCCTGGGTCCAGAGGCCAAGGCCAAAACCAGGACTTATCACTATCTGCAGGTGAGGTTCTGGTGGGGGTGGGGAACAGGGTCGTCAGCCTTCATAGTGTCGTCACCCAGTAAGCTATGCAAAAGGTTGGATGGGAGCCAGCTGTTCCCATGATAGAGGGTCTGGATGCAGGGAGGCTCTGCCCTGCTTCATTCTGTAAGACCTTGAGCCCCTTTTGGGACCTCAGTTTCCCCATTTATGCAATGAAGGGCCCCTTCTGTTCTGACATTGTGTGTCGGTGCCAAGAAGGCCTCCCCTTGGCCTGCTGTTTTGGACGAGCTGTGCTGGCCTCTGTCTTGTGAAGTTGGAGGCAGAATGCGGTTGAGGGTAGGCAGTGGGCAGGAAGTGTGGTGCTCCCCGGCTGTAGCTACCCTTGAGTTTGGAGGTCAGCAATTGGAAAGCAGCTCTCCTGCCCCCAGGCCTTCTCCAGACCTCTTTCTTCTCAAATCTAGGTGGTCCAGATATTGTTTGAATATGAAGGTTGGTTTGAGAATGCGCCTCTGCTGGCGTTTGTCATCCTGGGGTGCCTGTGGCGGGACACCTTTGAGGCTGTGGAAGAGCCTGGGAACCTGTCCCCTGGGTTTTCCTAGGCTGAGGGACACGCTGAAGCCTGAGCCAGGACAGGGCTTCCTGGGATCGGATGGTGCAGCTGATAGCTGGCATGTTGTCCCCAACCTGTCTCACCACGTCCATGGTCTCTGCAGATGAGCTAGAAGCTCTGACTGATTCTCCTCATGGAGGCTTCACCCATCCCAGCTGTCCGCTCCATCTTCTTACTGAGATGGGTCAGGGGCTCGTCTCACCATCAACCTTCCTCTTCTCTTGTCTCAGGCACCGCTCCCGCACCCCCTGAGATGTTTTAGAGGGAAAAGTCAATACAAATTCTAGAAGTCCAGCAGACTTAGGGTTACCCCCCAAACCCACATTCCACAGAGCTAATCCACAGTCATTCATTCAGTGGGTATCTCCTGGGTGCGGTGGATATAAAGATGAAGACACAAATGCTGCTTGTGAGGAGCTCAGTTTAGAGGTGGGACAGAGAAGGAGGCAGGAAGACCACAGTGCGCTAAGGCTGCGATGGGAGAGTGCGGTGGGCACCACGGGAGCAGAGGCGCCTGTCGCCTACCCCGGGATGATGGTGGTCAGAGCAGCTTCTGGGAAGAAAGTCCCCTGAGCTGAATCTCAGTGCAGAAGTGAAATGAGGGTGTTCCAGGAAGAAGCCACAGCGTGTTCAAAGGTATGGGAATCGAGCTTGCGCGTGTCTTTTGGGTGTCACTGGTCTTACTGGTAAGTTGTTCACATGTTAGGGCTCTTCTGGGTGGGGGACTCACAAAAGCTCCAGGGAACAGATGGATCACAGTGGAAGCAGGAAGGGGTGGGAGCAGGAGGGGAGGTTGGAGACTGCTGGGATTCAGGACTTTTGGGTTGACCTTGGATTGCCCCCTCCCTGGGTAGAGAGCTTCTCTAAGCTGCAATTGAAGGGCCCAACAAAAAGGGTGCGGAGAGAGTACTGACCCTTCCCCCATGACGGAGCCCTCGTCCTTTCTGGAGCCTCGCCTCCACTCCGCTGCTCCCTGCTGCTACTCCAGGGCTGCCCTGACCTCCCTGGGGGCTTCCTTGTTAATATGCACCTCACAGTGTCCTGCAGAGGAGGCAGGAGCTCCGCAGTGGCTACGGAGTGGGAACCCTGCAGTGTGGCAGAGCGCGCCCTGGCTGTCCCATCTGCTAGCCTGCCGCTCTCTGCCTGCCTGTGGCTCATAGAATATGGGGAAGGGGAATGATCCATCAGGGTCTGGGGTTCTAAGGCATCTTAAGAGGGAGGTCTGAGCCCATTTGGGGGAGAACAAGGGGCTGCAAGGACCCTCCAGACAGCCTGGGGCTCCCCTGGCACGAGAGCAGAGGAAGCTGACCCCATCAGACTAAGNGGAGAACAAGGGGCTGCAAGGACCCTCCAGACAGCCTGGGGCTCCCCTGGCACGAGAGCAGAGGAAGCTGACCCCATCAGACTGTCTTTGTTGGATCCCCAACTCTTTTATTGAGACCCTGTACCTCTCACTGGTCCCCAGCTCTCCCTCAACCCTGGTTCTCCCTGTGGGTTCCTTCATGGGGCCCCATCCCATCCCTGGGTCCCTGTGTGCCCACTGATGTCTGTTTCCTCACCACCTCACCAGTCTCATCCCCACATTCTCTTCCCCCCCCCGAACCCTGAGCCCTCTCAGACCTCCAGTCCCACCCCAATTTAACCTGCTCTTTATAATGGGTGTTTTAAATCTTACCTCCCACCCCAGCCCTCTCCCCCACACCTTCATTCACACTCACTCCTTACAGTGTAAGCTAACCGGCGTGGACACCCTCACTTTTCTGTCAGCTCACTCATGTAGATCCCCAGCCATCCTCACCCCCTCCATTTTGGCTCAGGAGATGCCAGGACCCCCCATCCCAGGCTGATACCTCTAGCAGGGCTTAAACCCGGCCCCCTTCGTCCCTGAACTGTCTGTACCCCTCCCTCCCCACATTTAAAGACTATCTTTACGGGCTTTTTCGCTCATCCTGAAAACATGCCCAAGTCTCTCATCCTAAAAAAAACCTCCTCAACCTTATTCCCCCTCCCATCTCCTATTTTTCCTTTACATCCAAGTTCTTAGGCCACAGACCCACTTCACTTCCTTTCACCCTCCCCTTTGCTACAGGCTGACTTCCACACCCCATCCTCTAAAGTGTCCTGGCAGAGGTCTCTTGAGAGCCTTCCGATGCTTATAATAATTATAGTCAACGTTCAGTGAGCTCTTTCTATGCGCTGGCACTCTATACTGGCTCACCAACCCTGTGATGTCCACGTAATTATCACCAATTCACAGATGAGGAAACTGAGGCTTAGAGATTCATCGTTTTGCTCAAATTCACTTAGCTAGCAAGTCATGGGGCCAGAATTTGAACATAGATCTAACTTCTGAGCTTGAGTTACTAACCTCTGAATGCACATGACATTTGACATTATCAACTCCTTTTATTCTTGAAATGTCTCCTGTTTCCATGACATGTCATTCTCTTGACTCCCCTCCTACCCCCTCTGCCCACTCCTTCTCAGGTGACTCCATAGGCTTCTCTTCCTTTCTTTACAGTCCCTTTTAAATGTCAGTGGATTCCTCCCCAGCTCTTTCTCTGCC